ACTCACCAAAAAAAAAAAAAAAAAACTATGTCGAGGGATAGGGATGAGGATAATGAAGGTGAAATAGTCCAAGACCACGACTAGTAGATATTGTCCACTTTGGCTTATTATGTATTGTCTTCAACCTCACAATTTTAAAACGTATGTACGAGGGAGAGGTTTCTAAACCGTTATAAAGAATATTTCTTCAACCGACGTAGGATCTCATAAAAGGCTTCCTCATTCTCGTTCACTCTATAGACATCTCTACTTTAAACCTTAAGTTTATATCTAATAATACGTCTTTAAATCAACGTGGCTACTAAATTTTCTAGATATTTAAAAAATAATAATAAATATAGACATTTTGCATAAAAAAATAAAAAGTGTTGGAATTCAAAAATTAACATTGATTTGACTATAAAAAAAAAATGGATTTAATAAATATAGACATTTTGCATAAAATTAATATTTCAGAGCCGATTTAATTGAGGGCGGACCCCCAACGGCCCCCCTTCGCCGTGTGCCTTAGTCCCATGCTCCACCCTTTCCACCGCCTATGGTCCCTCCATTTTTTTTTTTCTTTTTTTCTTTTTTTTTTCAATTATTATGCCAATTTTTAAAATTTTAATTGCATAAAAATATTTTTTTTATAAAGAAAACTCTAATTATTATAAGTTTAATTTATAAATTCCATTATACTGAATTTTATTATATTTTAGTTTATCTACTCTCAAATACTTACGCGACCAAATTAATAAATAAAAACATTTTAAATTTGTATTTTATTAAAAAAAAAATCTAAAAAATATACTTATTCCTTAAAACAAAAACTCAAAAATGCTTCTACAACCAAAATCATTAATATTTTGTTTTGGAAAATACTTTCAATTTTTAATATTAAGTTTAAAATATTTTTAAGGTTTATATTAGATTTTAAAAATACCTATGAAATTTTAAAAGTTGAATTAACGCTCTCTATTTTTATACAAAAATGTTAAAAAAAAATCTTACCATTAATATATGGACGAAAACCAATTATTTACATCTCATAATTATATTCAAACTTTTTAATATTAATTTTGAAAGTTTATGAGTATTTTTTAGACGTGGTTCTAACCATAAATATATTTTTGAATTGTTTAAAAAAGTTTAAATGTATTTTTGAATTTTTTTAAAAAGTTTAACGATATTAATGAAACTTTTGAAAATTCAACCGTGTTTTCGAAACTTTTTTTTTAAGTTTAAAATATTTTTGAAACAAAATATTAACTATTTTCATCCAAATCTAATGGTAAAGGTGTTTTTTAGATTTTTTTTATTTTATTTAAGGATATTATTGAAAGTCGTGTTTTTCTTAAATGAAATTATTATTATTTTACGATAACCATATTAAAAACACATAAATTAAAATATTGTTTGAGATAAATTCATCAAAATTAAAAGGATTTAAATATTATTTAGACAAAAATATATATTTTTTTATTAATTTAGATATTAAAATAATTGGTAATTAATTAGAAAGCAAGCTCTGTGTTGTTGTAAGTATAAAGCTGGCGAATAAAAGCTTCATCCAATTCTGTAATAAATGTAAAATTATTATTAATCTCAGATTTACGTACAATTACACAAAATTCAAAAAACAAAAAATAATTAAATAATAGAGAAGGTGGTAGGGTGACGGACGTACCTGGTGATAGGACCATAAATGACCAATGAAAATTACAGACGTGGTAATCAGTAACAGTGATTTCCTAGCGGGCCCCACCTCTCCCGTCTATCAATGCTCACAGTACATCCCCCCACCTGTCACTTTAGCAGGCCTACTCCCTATTCCCTACTTTTCTCCCGAATTATTTTCAAATTATTATTCCTTTTTTCCTTTTTTTTTTCTATTTTAATTAAAAAAATCCATAGAAATAAGCCGCGTAACGCTATAGACTACCTCTCGTTCTCTCTCTAGGCACAAGTTACGTTGCATGCCCACCTCACGTGACCCCTCCTCATTTATTGCTTTTTTCTTTTTATATAATTCTTTTTCTACCGTTCTTTAAAATAATATTAAATTTATTATTATTTATATATATATATATATATATATCAAACCAAGTTCTTATAATTCAAAGATTAAATAGTTGGAAATTAAAAAAATAATAATAAATAAAAAGTGGTGTATTTTAAAGAACGATAAATAATTAAAAAGATGAAAATTATTGGAAAATAAATGAAAAGAATTAGGGTCAGTATAGTATAGGTCTGCGACGCCGTTTTGGCAATGAAGAAGAAATGGACTTATTGCCAGTGTGGGACCCACCCGACCTTAGGGTTCAAATTCTGACGCCAATCTGATGTATTATGGTTGAAAAATTAATTGTACCAAAATAATATTTACTTTTTTTTTTGTTTTACTTTTTCACGGTTTTACTGGTAGGTAGTTGTCTGGTTGACTTCTGATTGTATTTTTACCACGTTCTAATTATTACTCTCTTCATTATTTTTCTTAATTAAATCTGTCTAATCTCACATCATTTGCTCTTAATTTTGTCCCTAACTCCCTTTTTATTTTAGTTTTTCGAGTAAGATTGAAGCTTAATTTATTGTAGTCGGAGTAAAATGTCCCTCTTTAACGCGAGTGGAAGGATAAATTTTTAATATCATTTAAATTTTAAAAAATAAAATATTTTTATCAACTTGAGAATTACTCACTCGTCATCCCTTGAGCTAAAAAGGGTCGGGATAATGATTATATTCACCATCTCAATCCACGATCCTGTCCCTGCCCTAAACCCCATCTCACCTTACTTGGGGAATCCTCAATTGTCAAAATCTCCACATCAATGGATAAATGGAGAATTTTACTGCACTGAGTAATAAAAGACGTGGGATCGGAGATGTGGAAAGCTTACTCCGTCTCTATCCTACTAGATGGACACCTTTGTGTATAAGTAAATTACAGAAGCACTCGAGATAAAATGTTTATAATTTAAGAATGTAAATGGATATGTTTGTTTTGGAAGATAGTATTGAGAATTAAGAAGAAGAGTAGAAATGAATATGTATACGTATGATTTTTAATGGATTAGAAAGATTATAATGGGAGAGAAATAGGAGGGGAAGGGGGGACACGTGGCGAAAGGGAATTGGTGGGTATAGACAGGTGAGGAATTGTCTTGTTTGGGTACAGTGTTAAGACAAGAAGAGGAAGGGGGAGGGGGACAGTGCTTTAAAGATGCCTGTTTGGGCTGCCTGGTTGGCAGGCGATCACCAGGTCCAGGACACTCCATGTGTTGTCAAAACGGTCCCGTCTTGATCGCTTCTCACATAACCCCCCTTCGCACTCATCTCACGTCTCATCCACGCGCTCTACCTTGTCTCTTCCACCCCGCGCGTGCTTCCTCACACCCCCTTCCAAAACCCTCGCAAAGTCCCGCATTTACAACCTCGACTTATATGAAATTTTATTTATTATTATTATTTAAAAAAGAAAAAGAAAAAAGAATCTTTTATTTTTATTTTTATGTTTGCTTCGGCTTTACCTCTGAAACTCAAATAATCTTTAGATTTTATTTTATTTTTAATTTTAAATAAAAGGGTTGATGGGAGAATCTTAGCCGTTGATGCTTTGGTTTTGCCCCAGTTATTCCCCACATGATGAATATATCTTAAATGTCTAAGCATTGCCATTGGTGGGA